CGTATGGGAATGCACAAAATCCATTCTTCGACGCAGTAATATCTCGTGACAAGTATGACTACAACGACGACCATTACTACTACTACTACTGCCACCATTATTATTACTATTATTATTATTATTATTATTATTATTATTATTAGTGGTAATACTACAACTACCACTACTATAAATCCGGGCTGTCTACCATATTTTTGGTCGGCTTGGCAGCAGGAACAAGTTGCGAAAATTAGGTCAGACCAATTCGCTTGTAGTTTACTTTTCGGTTGTTGGTATCAGTTAAGCCGCAACCCGTTTCAAGAGCAATACATCTTGCTGTTAATGCTATTTCTTTCTAGGCCACCTGACAATTGTCCAGTATACAGAAGAGCAAATAAACATTATCAGGGATAAACGACAAAATCCAGTCTGTAGCTGACTGGTACATGCTGGTATACTTACACATGTCTCGTGTTTATGTATCTGTGCCTCTGTTATGATATGGCTAGGCTGCGTGACCCTCTTGCTGGAACCCGTGGATTCGGATGCGTGGAAAGGCATACGTTGCATTGACTCTCGATCTTATTCAGCAAGCATGCGTTTGCAAAGATACCCTCACTGCACATGTTTTGATCTTATCTGCACCATATTGCTTTCCGTTGAACATGTTTGTTGTCAAGGTGTACCGGTCCCGCATGATTTGTCTACAAACCCTACAGTCAGTCTGTCCCAAGGACGACGTCTGCCTTGTCGTCTCATCAGCACCGCTGATGGAACGCAAGGCTCCAGCCAAACTGGGCCCAAAAAGAAGCGAGTTCCTATCCAGTTGCATGGTTATGGGAAAAATTTAGTCACGAGAGACATTGCTACTTATTTTGTAGTTAGTAATATTTTGCTTCGCAGCTATCAGTTGTCCAATTGGTGCAGAGGTGTACCTTCACATTAAAGCTTGCCTTGAAAGTTGTACTCTTCGTGTTTCCACCGTATGGAACTGTTTGTTGTCGTTGAGCTCACAAGTCCACGATTCCAGGTCCGTTGGGCGCGCCGATATAAACCAAAACAACAAAACAACACATGTGTGAATAACAAGATGAGGAAACCTCTATTTTGGTCGCAATCTTTCGCTGTATACAAGTGGTTTCACCTTGTTTTCGTGACCTACTTGTGTTGTCATGGCGACCGGTCATAGTAGCCAGGATAATTTAAGTGGCGTGGCTGCAGTTCCAGACGTTCGTCCAGCATCGTAGCAGAGATACCTGAATTAGCATTCTATAGAAAGTTGGTCAAAAGATGAACTTCACTTGTCTTTATGACGAGCTTTGGTGGTTTATTCGTCCTGTTTCGTTTTGATGTGATGAAGGACTGATAGGTGAATTCTCACACAAGCATATGAGTTTTCATTCGTTTACACATTGTCTTGCTTCCCACAGGGTATTCTCATCCAAGTTGGACTGCAGTGATCATCACATTAAAACTAAATAAGGTAAATATATCTCAAACATATGATCCACATGTAGTCTGGAAAAGCTATTCAGAAACGAAGAAGGTGTTGTAGAAATGTCGATTATGATGCCGGCAAAGTGTCTGTGAATATACCAAGTTCACGTATCGAGGCTGAAAATGATCATGACTATTAAACAACTGACTTTAGACAAAATGCTTTAATCTAGGTCGTCTTGACAACACGAACAAGTTTGTGAGATGTATTCATCCCATTTCGTTAAGGGGGAACGATTGTTAGCTAAATTTTCGCACGATCGTATGGGTAGACCTTAAGTTTCCATCGGATTTCAAATAGCCTTGCTTTCCCTAAATGGGAAAATTCAACTTCCAATCCTCCATCACCATGAAGGTCAGTAGTTTAAGTTTCCCATTATGATATGACTAGACATGGATGAGAACACCTTTCGGGAAACCGGGCTATGCAAAATTCATTGTTATGGAGACTTTCATGATGGATAGATTCATTGGTTGATCTCACTGGCAGACGATAGATGATTTGTGTTTTGTAACCGTTTGGCGTTAATACGACTTTCAGGTTGACGTGATCCACGAAGCAACTTCCCTTGTTTCGGACCATCATCAGACGGGACTGATTCTTGCACAAGTCTCAAATTGACACTATGCCAAGAAGACTGATTTGCTCTCTTTCTATCACATAAATATACTCATTGTGAGAAAAATTAAGATATAGACGAAGATATAAATGGAATAGGTTCCAGCTCTGATGATGCCCAGCCCGCTTTCACCCGAGACGAGGGAGGATGTCTCGTGGACTTTGTCAACCTGAACGTTGTATTAAAGCCAAACGGTTGCAGTACAACGTGAATCAGCCGGCGTCTTCTCATGAGATTGCTCTACGAAGCTCTTTATCAGTCTTATCTCAGGAAATTATTCGAAACTAGCACGAATGGCGCCACATTTGTTTGTGCTCAGTTGATGTGGAAACTGGTTTGGCTCATCTGCCAATCGTTGGTCTCCAGTTGACTCATGTTCCAGGTCGCGCTCACGCTCGAGAAGTGATCTTAACACGACTCGAAAATGCTGTACCTCCTTCGTGCAGATCACTTCACAACAGCGTCCACATTCCACTGGGTCAAATGGCACACAGGCCAACTGAGAAACTGCTGATCCTCATTTCCACGTTGCCGTGGGCTGGAGGCAATCGAACTCGTCCGAGGCCGACTTTGCGCAAGTCAACTCT